GCTAAGAGCTTAACACATGCGCTTCAGGAGTTTGGAAGGTTGATAAAAGAATGAGAAGAAAATCCTTGAAATGGACTACAGGAGAAGGTGTTACAGAAGATGTGAAAGAATCAGGAACGATGACTTAAGAAAGAAAATGGATACAAAGAAAACTACCATTGACGAAATAGAGATAAACAACGCAAGAAAGTTAAGCAAAATCTGATAGTTGAGTAGACATACTATAAGATTATTGGGAGTTTACTCATCACATTTCTAATTATGTAAACACTCATAATAAAAAAGAATGATAACAGAATAATATTTATAAATGTATCTCCAAAAAAGAGCCAATTACTATGTTTGCTTTAGAGCACATGATTAAAATAAAATGTATTTAATGAAGTTAATGATGAAATATACTTAACAAATAATAAAATCTGTAAATTATCTCAATTAAGGAATTAAATATATCCCACACCGTTTGGGGTTTGGTCCTTGTTTTAGCTAACGTCTCATTATTTAATCTTTGCCACTTTTTGTAATCTTCTCCACACACATTTTATTTTTCAAAAGAGGAAATATTTATCTTATGGTGCCAATGACCAAGCTAGAAAAAAATTAAAAAAAGAGGAAATGGGGTGTAAGGTTTCACACATTATTGAACTACAGAACCGCACTTAACTACATGTACACTTATTTTAAATAGGGAATATAAACATATTGATTAATTATTTCACAGTTAACCACATTTATTTTTAATTTATCTCTCTGTTCTTAATTTAATTAACAATATATTTCTGAATAGTGACTATGGTTAAAAATTATTTAATATGTAATAGAATATGTATTAGGCATAACTTCTTTTGTAAAGGCGAGAAAATATTTCCAAATCTCTAGAGTAACTTTCGTGGATTGGTGGGAATGCTGCTTGTAGGATAGGTTGGTTGCACCGAAGTCTGAGAGCACTCGCATCAGACGATTCCTCGCTGACGCAATGGAGAGGTCAAAACCCAGTCGTGCATCTTTCATGCAACTTCCTTCTCTTTCCTTTTTTAATGGTGGTTGACGAAGTGTTTTGGAAGACTTCTGTTGTTTCATCAATTTATTGTTGGCGGAGAGAGGACCGATGCACGTTCGTTTGATGATTCTTCGAAGAAGACTTTCAGCCACGTTGTAAAACCTTCGAACTGACTGCTTTTTTTAGGATAATCTAGCTTTACAATGTCTGTTACAATTACTTCATTTTCGTGTCACTCAGATTTATCATTTATGAAGAAAAGATTAATTCTTCAATATCCACTATACAAAAATTTCTAATAATTTAAGTGTACTTGAATATTGGTGCACTTTAAAACCTTTTAAAGTCCTGCAAATTTGTTATGAAGCCATTTTTAGTCATAAAAGTCTCATGCCATTAATTTAATAAAAGTACCATCTTCTTAAGTAAATACATTTATCACTTTTATGGTTTAATGAACAGGTATTCTACCAGATAATTCTCAAATAAAATTGTCTCAGACAAGATCGAAACTTCAGGACATTAACAATTATTTAAATGAAAGGTTCAAATTGATTAGAATGATTTAAAATACACGAATATCATGTGTGTATTTTTTATGGAAGAATGAAATAAATCAACACAATTTTTGTTGTTGTTGGAACTAGAGGGAAACATATTTAGAAAATGTCCTCAAAATATATTGTAGTGTGAGGTACCGTAAAGAATATTCCATTTATCAATAATTTTATATTCTCTCCACATATTCTTGACACAATTGTTCCTTCATACTATTTCTGCAAATGTGAATCCGCCACTATAAAATAAACAGTTTGAATTTGTCGAAATAATTCCACAAATATTTGAAAATAAACAATTGATGGTTCCAATGTCCGTTATTGAGAGGAAGGCCATCAGAACAAATTATTTACAAATAGTGTAATACAAAGTGTAGAAACCCTTAGTAGACTTCATATTGCCTTCAACTCTTTTATTAAAACACGTCAAGGGTCCGCAGAAAGTTCCGGTTACAATACATCGAGCGCTGCTAACAAATACGCCTCTAGAAGCGAAATCCGGCCATCGCCGTCCATTTTTCACCGCGGACGAGCCCTTCCTTCGACAAAAGCGAATCGCGGGAGCAGAGTCGCAGCGAAACTTCGTCAGCTTCCGCGTCCGGTCGACAGGTGGCGCAGCGGTCGGCGACAGCGCGGGGGAGGGGCGCGGAAGGGGGTGGCAGCCGGCGATTGGGTTACCTGCCCGGCGTCGCCCGCGTTCGCCTCCAGCGACGTGGCAGCCCCGAGGCCCGTCCCGTCTTGACCCGCCCTGGCCCGTCCCACGCACGGCGGGGAGGACGACTGGGCTGTCAGGGAGCCTTCGGCAGGTTGTGCCATCGTCAGCTTTTCGCCCATCGCCTCTCGTCTCCTTCCCCTTCCTCCTCATTTACCCAACGCCCTTTCCTCGCTTCACGCCTTTCTTCTCGCTTTTGCCATTTTCACTAACCTCCCTTTTATTTCAAAGCTCGCTCACGTCTTCCCCATCGTTTACTAAGCAACAGCCTTCACAGCGGACACAACGAGCGGGCCGGCAGGGAGCCTTCGACTGGCTGCCCCGTCGTCAGCTTCTCTCCCATCTTCTCTCCTCTCCTTCCTCATCCTCCTCATTTACCCAACTCCCTATTCCCACTGCGCGCCTTTCTTTTCCTTTCGTCCGATTTCACTAAGTATCCATTCATTCCCAAGACTTTCCACATCTTTCGCTTCGTTCACAAATGTCTTCAAAATGCCTTCATTCCCAAGCCTTCCCACACCCTTTCAACGTCTTTCCCTTCGTTCACACTCAGCCTTCAGAGAAGGGAGAAAGAGCGGATCCTTCGGCAGGTTACCCTGTATCCAGTCTCTAAACCGCGCTTGCTACCCCTCACTCGCCCTTCCACACCCTTTTTCTCATTGATCCTACTTCCCTTCTCGTCTCCCTTCTTTCTGCCAATCCCTCACTTTCAAAACTTTCCTCGCGATTCCCCATTGACTCTTTCCAGGGCCTTCCGCCGTACTCACCTACCTTACCGTAGCATCCTACATCTGCCAAGCGAATGCCAGAGCAGTACCCCAACAGATGGGTCATGAACCGCGCGCAATCTGCCCTTTCTCATCGTTGTTCTGTACTCACCCCTTACTCACACACTTCCCCTTACATGCACTGCACTACTACACATATCGCGAGACCAGTCACGAGCATAGAGTTTGTCCCGGCAGCGGCAGTGGTCAGGTGTTAGGAGATACGTGGATAGGGCACAACTTGAAATCGGACGTGAAAGTCGGCGCCGGATCTCATCAACCGTGAGAGAAAAGCACCGTCACCTTCCCATGATAAAACATGCACTACACTTAAGGAAGTAATTACCAAAGCAGTTTAAATGCCCGGAAACACGAAATAAGCAATCGATCTTCTGCCCTCGTACCACTAAATGCTTGAAGGATTAACGGGAGCAACTGTCTATCGGTACCGGCGCATTCACGCTTCTTCTTGTGTGTGGATGGCCTATGGAAGTAGAATGTGCCAAAACGTTAATCTCATTGACATAGAAAGCAAAGGAAATAAATTATTATGAGAAGGAGGAAGTATCTAAAATATTTTAAGAATATATTTATGCGAGAAAACACCGAAAGACAGGTTTCAGAATTTAGTTAATAATTTAATTTTGGCGTCAGAGATATCAACATCCTTATGTGATTTGAGGCAAACAGAATCACAACGTTATTAACATGTAAAACAATGTGTTTAAAGTTATAAAAAGAAGCTAAGTTTATCGTCTTTGTTTGTGTGTCGTCTTTATTCACCCAGTAGATTCTCCACTTTATTCATTAAATTCAAGCAGAATAAAAAATACATGCCTGCTAAATGGAAACAGAACTTTACTTATTCTGTATGTGATAAATCTATACAATTTATTGAGGATTTTAAATTATGTCCCATTATTATTTTAAGAATACACGTAGGTTTTTTTGCTATCTTTGTGTCATTTACTCTGAGCTCTTTCTCTTACGGAACGTCTTTCTTCTCAAAGTATATTCTTCTTTGTTTTTTTATTGTTGATAAATAGAGGTTCTAATTAAACAAATAAGTAAAATGTATTAAACGAAATACGATTTATGGAGTCCTTATGTGCACGAAGAACAGATAAAGTGGAACATTATAAAACAGAGTATAAAAGATCATGTTATTCTCTGAAACACATCCTATAAAAAGTGTTAGAAACAATTATTTGTCAATAGATAGATATGTGAATTTTATTCTTTTAGTTATTGATTTTTTTATCTTTAGTTATTGAAATTTTATTTTTTTGAAAGAATGTTAAATGGCAGAAATTGAAAATTAAGCTGGGTATAGATTCAGTTTCCTTGTTAAAAAATGAAAACCTCGAATACACAAACAAACTTCAAGTTAAGAGGGAGTATTTGCTCGAAATGATAATTTTCATTGCTTATCGTTGGTTAGAAAGTAATGAAATATTGTACATCTCAAAATTTGTCATTATGGAGCAGAAAATATTGAACCTGTATCATTTTTTGTGGCCGAAGATAATGTGTTATTTTACTCCGGTATTTTAGGACCGTCCTGTGAATTATATTTAAAAGTTCACTATTAATATTGTACCATTTTAATTTTTTGTTTATTTAAAATAACTATTTTTTATTGGACACTTTCTTAATTTATATTTTGTTCTAAGAATGTAAATTTCATCTTGTATTGTAATAATAAGATAGCTTTTTTTCCTTTCAAATTTCCGTATATAAATGTTTTAATACTACTTACACAGCTTAGAGCTATAATAACATAACGCATTTTCTGAAATTTGTAAACAAACATTAACATAAAAATATAGAATACATAGCAACTGTTGTTTAGATAACCTCAACAAATGAACATGAGTGATTATGATGTTCATTAACATTTCATCAATGCTCGCGAGAATTGTATTTCACTTTGAAATATTGAGGCCAAAACGTCGACGCTCGTGATGGAGAAGCGAGGGGAGAGTTGGAGGGCATTTGGTCTCCCAGCAGGAGATTATCATTTGATTGGCTGGGATGTTGATACTACTGGGAGCGGTTTTGACGACGAAATATGCCACATCGCTGCCTACACCCCAACAGCCAGTTTTGCACAGTTTGTGATACCGTATCAAGATATCAAACCTGCTGCAAGAAGAAAGCACGGATTGAATGTGGTTACAGTTGGACGGTTTCGTATGCTCAAGGACACGAAGACTAACTCTATTCTGAAAACGAAATGCCTGGTTGCTGCTCTTGCTGAATTCCTTCAGTGGTTGGAAGGATTAAAGGCTAAAACTAGTGACGGAGTAATTCTTATTTTTCACGAGGCTCGGAAAGTGTCTGTCCCAATTCTGCTGCAAGCTGTGCGCAAGTACAATTTTATGGAGAAATTTACTGCAGTGGTGAAAGGTTTCGTCAATGGATATAGCGTTGCTGAAGTGATGTGTACAAATCATATTTGCTCTGTTTCATTGAAAACTTTATCCAAAACACTTCTACATGAAGACGACAATTTGGGCAGTGCTGCTGTTAGAGCTCGACTCGCATTTCAGGTAATGTAGGGTTTTTTTGAGACTGATTATTCCAGATAAAGTATGTTTCGAAGAACTTCAGTTAATAACGTTCGGCTCTAGTACGCAGCATTTTTTCGAAACTAATATAAATCAACTAATATTCTCCCACATCGAATATTATATTTAGTGCATTTAATATCTAATTCTTAATATTAATATTTAACATTATATTTAATATATATCGTAATTTGGTACGTAAGAAATGACGTTGTACTAAGAAATTATTAGTATTTACTCCAAAGTGAAGGTTTTTACTTTAAAATATTTTTTTACTCTCAATTGAAACATTTATTTTATTAAATCAATATTTCTAAGAAAAAACTTATTAATACATATAAGTGTGTAGGACCAAGGATATATGCAATCACTAAACAATGTAATGTATTATTCTCTTAGCAATTTCATTTCTTTATTTTTCGTCAATTAAGTGTCTATTATTGTTAAAAGTCAACTTAGATTCTCACTGCTAATTCTTTTTAAAGACGAAATTTGTATGATTCATTAATACAATAAATGAGTGCAGAGGTGCCTAAAGGATTTTGCTGTAAGGATGGACTTTCCTGTGAGGAGAGGGAATCTTGGTGTATTGTCCAGATGACTTAATGTGTTCCTTTTCAGAAATGTGCATTTATTCTGAATTTAAGGGTAACAAGCGTTAGTTTTTTTAAAGTATTTTTTATATACAAAATTTACATTGAACGACTTTCCTTTCTAATGAAAATCACTCATAGGTAATACCTTGGACTTCTCGCGTTCTGTTTCGTAATGTAAGTGATCGTGCGGATTACATATATAGTCCAAGTTAATATTACATATTACGTCCATTATGAGTTGCGTAAAATATTTCTTACCAAATACTTTGTTATCTGAAAATGGCTTCTTCAATTTGCTATGGGAGCAACCAATACTTTAACTTCCGGCTTTTAAATTAACCTCTGCATCTTCCGAATTCAAAATTTAAATAAGTGTCGCCTATTGGCATATAAAATATTTTATTTCTTCGATGATAATTAATTATCAGACATTCAGTGGTCAGGATACTATCACAACACTTTATTATGACTCTGACATTAGTACAGAGTTTTTAAGATTAACTACATTGCAAACTTCCTTTACATCAATCATAACAGTGGTTTTTGCACGCGCTACAAGTATAACCCATAGACTTTTGAATTATTTGACAGCAACATCTTGCTGTGAAAAGCTCGTAAGAAGGCTGGTTGGTAAAATTAACATGTTATTTTACGCTAGAACTCTCACAATTCTAATCCTGTAGAGGTAGAACGCCGACAAATGTGGCTGGGCTACTCTTACGACCCGCACGAATACTTAAAGGTTATTCTGTGATATGGGTTCATGGGGAGAGCTGAGATCCCATTACTCTCTGACCTCATTTCTCATGAGATTTTATTGCATTAAATATAAAAACATTGTCTACAATTTTTTTCCAAAACAATTCTTTATTATTCTCCGCACCTCAATTGTGATACAATATTTGATCAAAAGTACTCTTGCCAGATTTTACAGATAATTTGCGGAAATGAATCCAAACAAGGACGAGGCGATGGCAGTCAAAATGCAGATACTGCTCTTGTTCAAGCTATCAGCCGATTTACGAAAACCATAGCACAGGAGGAAGAAGAACTTGAAAGATTCAAGAACGCTTTGGATCGACAAGCCGCACGACGTGGATTTTTCGCAACTTCATCATAAAATAAACATTTATTGAATGGTTGAAGAAGAAAGAACAAGGTAATAAGACATTCTCCCAAAAATATTGCATAAATACTTGAGAAAACATATCACACTAATGAATTGGATTATTAAACCTAAATTTTCGTACCTCATAGAAAGAACTGGCTTTAAAAAATACCGTCAAGCGTACCGGCTAATGAAAATGATCGCTTTTCCTTGTGGCATGATAGGTGTCGTCAGGCTCTGGCAGTCGCTTTCTGTCGCCTACGTAGAACACGACACGCGTTGACCTGCGGAATATCGAGTTACAGCTTGAAACAGAAGCAAGTAATAGCGCGTCGCCGCGGTCAGTTGTAGCCCACGCAGCCCATGGGGTTTGTTTCAGCAGTGAAACTGAGTGGCATGAGGTCATCAGTAAGGTCCCTTTTCCAAATCCTTTATAATGGACCTTAGGGGAGACTCCTTCGACTATGACCTTTGACTGACGATATTTTTCCACGCTGCCTGATGTTGAAATTTGTATCACTCTATTTTTCTCCAGGAAAGAATTAGATTCAGAACATTGTATTTCCTTCGCTCACTATCGCCGAGTTTCAGTTTTGCTATAACATCATCTTATGCTTATTTGTATTGTAAGGAAGAGAGGACTAGTGACAGAAGTTCACTATAACTGATGATTCGCTGTATTCTAGTTCATTATAAAGGGAGTCAACTCTACATTTTAATATGTTAATATCAAACTGAAATGCCCCGCAATGTTCCGGTATTTATTTTATTTTTTTATTACATCAGTGAATAAGCTACAGTTGTTAGACTGCGCACATATGAAAGAAATTTTTATTTTTTTTCATACATTCAGCGATAAAATTTTGAATTGCAACTATGATGTGTTTTATTACTAGACGTTCAAAATAGTTATGCCGATTTGGAAGCAATCAATTTAGAGGTTCTGTTCTTTCTGAAAGGTATATTTGCGAACAATTTTACTTTTATACAATATTTTAACAAACTTAAATAGCCTTCTAAAAACACAAGAAATCGTAAATTTCAATTATCATAATATATATCATATTAACTAATTGGAAAAGCTGTGTGTGTCCGAGCATCCGTCCGACAGTTACTCATTCAGGTCTTTTGATCCACCATTCAGAAAAAAGGAGATGTTGTTGCACGTGCCGCGGGTAAAAGCACTTTTTCAAATATTTTCGGACAACTCTAAGGGAAATCTGGAGAAAAAATGAATCGGGTTGGGGTAATTACCTAAAACGCTTTTTTTCGGAGGTGAAGGATTATGAAGGTTCATTCGATTACTCTCATCAAGGACGGATTCATTAGTACTATATTAGCAGAGTCATAGGTACGAGTGTAAAAGATTCTAGAAGAACGTGATTTGTTGTAAACATGGTACTCAATGGCGAACCGTTTTTATATGACCACAAACAGATCGATAGAAACGGAACCACAAAATGTGTTTCAAACCTCATAATTTTATTATATGTAGTTATTCTCAGCTGGTTGTCTCATAATTAATTTTGCGTGTTTCATCAGTATCAAGTCATACATGTACTTTTGAAATAAGGGTCTGTTATGTAATAGCTCTATGTGTTATGTACTTAGAATTATACGTTTAAAGAGCTTAGAATGAATAAGGAAGGAAGAAGGAAATGTAAGATTATGTGAAGAATTGAAGCTTTTAACTGAATATTAATAAATGAGAAAAATTAATAGTTCTTCTTTCAACTTTCCATAAAACAACCATCAAAAGCCATCGAGCAATTACGATTACCGTACTAAAATGCATATTAACTTGTCCCACGTCCACGAAACTGTTGCGGAGTTTAAACTAACATTCGTCACGCACTCGCTCGCAACCTCGTGAGCTAAAAGCGCTTTCGCAAAGCACGAGCGCCCTGCAGGCGCGGCGACTCCGCACAATGCGGACCGCGCCGCGGCCGCTCTCGCCACCCGCCTCGTTCTGTTGCCCCTCTCGCACGTCGCGCATTTCTCACGCACAATGGGCGCCCACGCGTGCACACACGCACGCACGCACCCGCGTGCACGCACGGCGGCGGCGGCGGCGCCGCACAGTGGGGCCAAATCCCGAAAGTCTGGGCAAAATTCTAAAAAGAGACTTGTTATTTAGAAAAATTTAAACATGCTGTTTGTTAGAACAGTGTTCAATTTGTCACATTTGAAAGTTACAGAACAGGGTTATGCCTTGCACCTATTTCATTAGCACAAACGTGGCTATTATTTGAATAAGATCTTTGCTAAAGAAATACAAATAAAAAACAGTTCCTTCAAAACCGTGGTATGCTGTGTAACTGTATTCAATTTTTATGATCGATTTAAATTCTGATGGTATGTAGATTATTTATTACTTAAAGAATATTCTTTTTTTTAAATACAGAAAAAGTAATAACTCTTGTAGAGTTCCGCCACAAAATATACAGAGGTTGTAGTCTGTAATATTATCCAGTGATTTATAAAAAAGAAATAGCTGCTAATGAGTGTCATTCTGCAAATTTTTGCAAATTTTTCTTGCAATAATGGAGATGTTCATATATTGGTCATTTCGACCTTCGTCAACTGTTAGAGCAATATGAGAAATTTCAGGAATATTGTTTAGTCGGAGAAATTTTCTCAGTAGTTTTTACAAGCCAAATTCAGTACACAACTTTTTATTCACTCTAAAGAAAGCTTCCTCGTGTCACTGTCATATTGGATCCGCTATTTTTTTTCTTTTCAAAATTGTAAACTCATAGTCGAATCAGAAACAAAAAAATTCCTCTGCTCAAAGTTTCATAAAACTAGCCTCGGCAGCCGAAGTCGCTAAGGCTAAAGGACCGTAGCTGCTTCGGATGGAAAGGTCGCGGGTCTCAGGCATTACTGTCTGTGTGTTTTTGCTTTGTTCTTCCATGTTCTTCCTATAGTCAAAACAACCACAGTGATCGCGGTATGACCCAGTTGTTAAAAAGCGACCTAACAGAATAGTTTCATACAAATGCAGTCAAGTTTTCATATCATGGCCAGCTCTTCGTGTTTTGGCCCCAGCGTGGGGCTGAACTCGAGGCAACTTGCGTGTGTTGGCTGCGGGGGGGGGGCGGTCTTAATGCGGGAGAGGTGGAGGTCGGGGGCGCGGTTGGCGCCGGGAATAGCGGGGGTGGGTTGAGCTGCGGCAGAGGAGAGTGCAGGCGGAACCTAGTGCGAATGAGGTGGTTCTATAACTGATAATTTGTTAAAAATCATTAAATATTACGTTGACTAATGTTCATCAATTATTATTCTCTGATTTATGTTCTTTGAACTGCCTTCTCTTTCCTCTTTGGTTCTGTGTGGCAAAGATGTTGAAATTCCCATAAATCCACGCCTTTTGCACAAATAACAATTTCAGCCGCAGTATTGCATCTCCGACGTTATATTTTCAAACGTATTTGAGAAAACTAGATGATTATTTTGTATCTTGTTGACTGTTGTTTCTTTCTAGAAAATGAATCTAAATTATTGACTTAGCACTTCAACATTTTACAACAAAAAGTTTAGAAATTTTGAAAAGAAAGAACAAAAGAATATGTTATTAATTAATAATCTATTGCTTTAAAAATAAAGTAACTGTTATACTATTTCTATGATTTTTTTCTTTAGAATTCAATGTTCTAGTTATTTTGTAAAAGGACGAAATTAACTTTTGGACGGAAAAACTGTGGACTTGTTACATAGTTTCATACATTAGGATATTCCCTGCTTATCCACAATATCATAGTGGCCCTGTGTCCAAGGAGAATGGCCAGTATCAGGTCTTTCGATGCCAAGGTCTCCTACGTATATTAATATTTTCTTTGTGGCATTTTGCATGCTTTCTTGGCTTTACATTATTTTAGTTGAATCGACGTCAAAATAAATATTAAGCTAGAATTTTACAGTTTTTAGAAGAATCCGAGTCACGAAAGAATGTCTATTTTTTTGTTATTTAAGGTCGCTTCAACATCTAGGTCATGAGTGAGAACTTTTAGATTAAACGTTATGGTTTTTGTGAAAATGACACGACATGGTGATCATAGGGGTGAAAGGCTGAACACAAATACGATGCCGAGACGGGACTCGAACCCGTGATCCTTCGGCCCGAGTTCGCTACGGCCTTAAGGATTTCGGCCATCGGCGAAGCTTGGTTTTATAAATGCTTATTATAAATAATTAATTAAATTTAGAGATAAATCACTACATATTTAATATCGAAGTTAGTATCACATTTAGTATAAAAGTTATTACCAATAATACTCCGTCGATATTCCGTCAGCATAGTTTCTAAAGTAAAATATCTTTCAGTAAGCTCTGTTCAGAGAAAGAACCTCGAGTTTTGTAAATATTAATGAATTCAAAAGTAATTTTTGAACTAAATATATTTCAGAGTCATATTAGGTTTGTATTTGAGCGTAGACTACATAAAAGAGAGTTATGAGTTAAGAAGGCAATTGGATATTTAGTGTTCGTAATATTCGTACCTTCGCCACTATGCCTTTTCAAAGCAAAATCTATAGAAGTAGCAATTCATCCTGTTCGAGAGATCTTCAACGTTCCATCAAAGAAGACGAAACGGAACTGCAAATTAACTTGATTTGTACCTAGAGAAGTACTTTTATAAGTAATTTCAACTTGCAGGCACGTTCATTTTATTTTGATGTACTTCTTCATGAGTGCGTAACTTAATTGAATATTGTTCAGACTTCAACCACCATCTCAGGTTTAATTCGAGGTATTCATTTGCACCTTCATCAGTCCTTCCCTGCGAGACAATCTCTACCAGCAGTGGCCCGCTACCTCTTGTCCCAAAGGATTGCTGCTCCCGGCGCCGCCTCCGCCGCCACCGCCACTGTAACCGCCTACGCCACCTCCTCAGCAACCGCAGCCTATGCCGTCGCCGCCGCCACCGCCACCGCCACTGCCACTGCCACTGCCCACCCCCGCCACCACCATCGCCACCTCTGCCAGCATCGTTTCCCCACCGCCACCACCGTCAC